AAAGAAAAAAAAAAAAAAAAAAAAAAGTAAAGGTGTAAGAGAAATAAAGTGGAAAGAAAAAGAAATGCCATGAAAGAAGTTTCTTTCCATTTCTAAGCCCTTGGTCAACAGGACCAATAACTAACTTTCTTCAAAGAAGAATTCTTACCTTTATTATGAAAAATACAAATAAAAATCAAATTAGGTACAACTGAGTGGCAGACTGCTCTTTAGGAAGAGGATTTTGTGAAGTCACACTAATGATGGGGGGAAGCTGAGCCAAAACTGAAGGCTGCTCCTTTACACATAGAAAATACACCATGCCAATGTCCTAGGGCAGAGAAATTTTTCATGTGTATGGATTTAATACGTGCATATTTTTAAAAGTTCATGAGAAGATTTGCATTATCTTTTCCTTCTATTTTTCCACATACCCTCAGAATAAAATAAATAATATTATTAATAAAAATAAAAATTTATTGAACACTTACCTGTGTCAAGGACTGTGCAGAGAGCACTTTACACATATCTCACTTAATCCTAACAGCTACTGATCATTAAACTCACTTTTCAGAAGCAAACAATGAAGACTTGGAGAGGTTAAGTCTTTGTGCAAGAGCACACAGCTACTCTTCAGCAGAGCCAGGACTTACCCCCAAGTCAGTCTGACTCTGCACCCTGCATTCCTGACTGCCATGTACTATTGCTTACTACACACACAAAAGATGAGTGTGCAGAGGACAGCTTTTGAATGTAAACAGTTAAAAATTATGGATAATTTAACTTCAAAAGTTGGAGCCATGAAACTTCAATGATATCCCTAAAGCACTATTCACTAACTGGCCAGTAAGTCTCAGCATAATTTCTAAGAGCATTTCCTCAGCATTCATTGAAGCACACTGCAAGAACATCGAGGGCACCAGGGCAACCAGGCTCATAACTCTTACCATCCCGATGCCTTCAAATGCAAAAATGGCTGTACCAAAGAACAGAGGGTAGGTCTTCCAGGGTGCCACCAAGGGAAGGTGGCTGGGGTTTGGGATCCTCTGAAAGAAAGAAAACAAAACAAAGCAAAAGGCTATACAGAGATTCAAGATTTGAACCTTGAATCAGACAGGTCATACCTTTTCCTAAATCCAAGATTCGCTGAAAGAAGAAAGTCTGATACCTAACAGGGGATTTGGGGACATTTAGCCTTTGTATTTTTTTCTTTCAGCTGAGAAAACCCTATTTGCTTTGAGTAAAGACTAGCCCAAGGTACTATTAAAAAGTCAAATGTTGGAGCTTGCATAAAAAGAGTCACATTCTTTCACTAGGTAAACCTAACAGGGGATTTGGGGACATTTAGCCTTTGTATTTTTTTCTTTCAGCTGAGAAAACCCTATTTGCTTTGAGTAAAGACTAGCCCAATGTACTATTAAAAAGTCAAATGTTGGAGCTTGCATAAAAAGAGTCACATTCTTTCACTAGGTAATCCCATCCCTAGAAATTTAATTCAAGTAGAAAAATCAAAAGACAAAAAAAAAAGTTGAGTGAAGCTATTTAACAAAGTAACTGAAAACAGCCTAAATGCTCCCAAACAAGTGATCAGGTAAGTCATTAATCACACACCAACTATACCACAGGATATTATGCACCATCTAAAAAGTAAAAATTGAGATAACTAAGTAGAATATGAAAAACTGCTTATGAAATAATAGTGAGAAAATATTTTTAAAATTTATGTATTTGCTATAATACAACTACATAAATGCTACACACAGAGCTGAAAGGGAAGGTGATATATTTTTAGATTAGCTCTTTTCCTTTCCTTTTTTTCTTCTTTTCTTTCTCTTTTTTCATTTTTAATTCTTGTCAATGAGTTTGAACACTTGGAAAATATTATCGGGAGGCACACAAGAGGAGTACTGGAACATTTTGGGAAAAATAGCAAGAATAACCTTAAAAAAATAGGCAAGTTTTAAAAAGTAAGACAGTTGTTAACTGCAGGTACAGTGCAAGGCTGTGCAAACAAGGAGGTGTGGTCACAGATCCTACTCAGCTCACGCTGAACAATGATCACTAATAACACACCATGTTGAAGGACCAGGGTAGGGAGAGGTGGTTCAGAGGCTGCTGTGCTTTTAGAATTTGGCTTTTTAAACCAAGTACATATATTGCTTAGATTAAAATAAAAACAAAATTTTTAAAACTGCCTTTTACAATGTTTTAAAATTGATTTAACTATATAGGTATTTAGATAAAAATGGGGGACGCTCTAACAGTGTAACAGAATAATGTCAAGTAAACAAAAGGACATCTATTAATAATCTCTATAATAGGCTTCTCTTTCAAAGATTTCAAGGCAACTATACCATAGTTTCTGAGAAACATAAAAAATAAATACTTTTTTCTGGGCCCCTGCTAAGAAATCAGTTAGATTTCTGTATAAGAAGCATTTCAGTACCTGGAATGAAACAGACTAATGGGTATTTTTGCTCTACAATGACATATGAAAATGATATTGCCCTGTAATTATTCCTGAGTCACAAATGGAACTTAAGTTCCTGGAAATGGGTGTTATATATTGGTTAGTGGATGACTACTTTCCAGATTCACACAGGTTGAGGTATCAGGTGGGGAATTTTACAATACATGTCTGAGGATGCTTGTGAATGACACCAGCAGAAGGAATGTATGATTCTATACACTTAATGATTGCTACAGACTAATAACCCAACCAACTAAATGGAGAAAGTTGAATCTACAAAGAAACACACAAATTAAAATCAGCTCATTATCAACATATTTCCTCAATTCTACAGTACTATCAATTATAATAATAACAGCTTTCTGAGAAGTGTACATATGGATTGCAAGTGTACTCTAATTTTGGAACTGTTATAACAGTGAAAAAAAAATGCCTTTCAGAATGAAGAATATGCACTGCCCTCTGGGCAGGCACTCTGCTCAGAACATCGTCCCACGTTGAAGGTATGGGAAACCTTCAACTGCTCAGGTGGAAGACCGTGGTCTGCTTCCTACGATGGCACGTGCATGAGGAGCAAGAGTATCCGTCACATACATGCTGAGGATTAGGGAAAAAAATTCACCAACACCAGACAGCAGGGGACCCTCACAGTAAGCAGGGCAAAATGCCAAAACAGAACAGTGGTAACAAATAACAGCAGCAGCAGCAACAAAAGTAACCCAGAGGGCACATCTTTAGATGCGTGCCACATCACAATTAAGCTGTCACAGTACGGTGGGCGGTGATGATACTAACACACCGTCAAGCCCCCATTCCCCCCATGCTGCACCCGTGGCAGACGGCACTACAAGGTCAGAGCACACCGTATGGCTGGGCCCAGAGCAAGCTCAGAACTGCTCTCATGAAATCGGCAGGACTGCCTCCTCTCAAAGTGCAGGTTGTGCTGTGCATAGACATCACTCTAGATGGATGCTACCAGTTAGCTGAGACTGAGATGCTTCAGGAACCTGAACTCTCATCCCAGCTCACTGATTATGGCAACCACCACAGTCCAACTACCTGCGATGTTTATAATTAAATGCAGCACGTGTGCGTGTCTATGAGAGGTGGCCTCACTCACTTCACCTTTATGTCCCCTGGAGTGTGTTCCAGGCACTTCTTGAGAGCTCTTATTACAAAGTCAAATCATACATTTATTTACTTTTCCTTCCTTGAGGATGGAAACGGTTGATCATGTGTTCACAGACCCTATAGCTAGTCACGTGAAAAATTGGACATGGAGAGTTGTTTACGTTTTAAAAAATATTTCTACAGAGGAAGAGTCAGTATCTGCCACCCATCTGATTTACCATGACAAGGAAAAAACAGTAAATGCTCACTAGGTACAATGTTAATCTAAATTCATCATGTCCCTTCCTTTGTACAGGAAGTTTCCGCTTTTTATGACCCACTGTTTTCCTAGAAAGCATATCAGTAGGTAACTGGGTAATTGTTAAGCAGACTATGTGAAAATTAAGTAATGTTCACCTGTAGGATTGATCAAAATTAAAAAGATTGGTACATCCAGTGCTGGCTAGGGAGGTAAAACAGACACTTACGTACTGGGGAAGGGAGTCTCTATGAAATCAGTAAATAGCTTTTGGAAAAAGCAGCTTGGCGATATAAAAAATTCAAAAGTGCATGCTCTTTAGCAATTGCACCTCTAGATAAATATCTTAGAGAAGTATTTATACATGTCCACAAAAAGGAATGTATAAGAATACTCACTGTCTTGAGAGTAGAACAGTGGTTACCAGAGGCTGGCGGGGGTGCGGAGGCGGGGAGGGAGGCAGAGTAAACAGGGAGAGGTTGGCCAACAAGTACAAAATTACAATTAGACAGGAGGAATAAGTTCTGGTGTCCTATTGCACAGTAGGGTGACTATGGTCAACAGTTAAGTTTTATGCATTACACAATAGCTAGCAGAGGCTTTTGAATAGTTTCCCCACACAGAGAGATAAATACATGAGGTGATGGTTACACTAACTACCCTGACCCGATCACTACACAACATCAGATTATACCCCATGAGCTTGTATAGTTACAATGTGTCAATTTAAATAAATAAATAAATAAGAATATTCACTATCTTAATACTGAAATATACTAAAAGTGATAAATGACCTGATACTCCACTGATTGGGGACCAGTTAAATAAACTATGGCACATCTGTTCTCTGTGACACTATGCCGCACTTAAAGAGAACAAAGTAGAGCCAGGTATATCAACCTGGAAAGCTCTTTAAGGCATCGTCAAGGGAAAAAGGCAAGGCAGATGAATACTACATATAATTTTTTTTAATTATGTTAGAAAAACACACAAATTTTGTATTATATATTTCTCTGCATACTTAAACAGTATGTAAATGCATTCATAGGTTCTAGAAAGAGACAGACTAATCACACACAGTAGGTCCCTGAGAGAAGGAAACTGTGTGGGGATGTGGTATTCAAGAGGTATTTGTGTTGTCTGCATTTTAATGAATATGTATTGATGAATTATTTGGGGAATTAAATCTAAATAACTTTTTTTAAGTCATGCTTTTTTTTTTTTTTCCTGACCGGTAAGGGGGTCATAACCCTCAGCATGGTATGGTCTGCATGATGCTCAGCCAGTGAGCGGACCGGCCATCCCTATATAGGATCCAAACCCGTGGCCTTGGTGCTATCAGCACTGCACTCTCCCAAGTGAGCCACGGGGCCAGCCCTTAAGTCATACTTTTACTCACCTTTTACATTATTCCTTTTCTGGAATCTTGGCAAAGTAAACTTTTTCACTAACAGCCACAGTGTTTAAAGGCACATTTTCCTCAGCCTGATCTTCTACCTGTCTATATGCAGATGCTCTCTCTCACTCTACCCCACAGACCCACCCACCTAGGCTAAGTGATGGGGAGTTATGGGGACACAATAAATGGATTCATAATTTCAACAAATAAATATAAAACTGAAGTTGGTAAAGAATTATCTTACCTAAATACAGGTTAGAAACATTGATTTTTATTTTCACCTTAATATTTTTCCCTATTTTCCAATTGTATACAATGATCATGCATTGACCATCTAATCCGAATGAGTCTAAACCAGCAATCTCAGTGGAGGTGATTTTGCCTCCCAGGGATGTTTGGCAATGTCTGGAGACCATTTTGGCTGTCACAACTGGGGGACTGGTTGCTACTGGCACCTAATGGGTAGAGACCAGGGATGCTGCTAAACATCCAACAATGCACAGGACAGCCCTCACAACAAAGAATTATCTGGCCCAGTATGTCAACAGTGCTGAAGTTAAGAACCTCTAATCTAAACACTCTATACATAAGCAGCATATAACTACCTGTTCTGTTTATTTCTTTGATATTTAATAGGATTGGGGAGGGCCTGGACTCATACCTGGACAATGAACTGGTAGATCATGACCAGGCTGACCAGCATGGTGACATTGGCCAACAGGGAGAAGATGGACAGGACTCGGAGGTTCCTGATGAAGACCAGCAACACCAGGAAGGGCAGCAAGGAGAGCATGTAGAGTCGTGAGTCCATGGTGGGAGTGAGAACCACCGTCTCATTGTTGTGGCAGTCATTGGTGGTCCCATTGGCTGCTTCTATCACCTAGAATGAGAAGAGGAAAAGAAAAAGGAAAGCCTCTTATGGGACAAAGGCCAGTGGATCTCCCACTGGAGGAGGTTCATGACTAAAGGCTCAGGTTGTGAACAGAACTTATGGAAGTCTGTAGCAGTGAGCCTCCTCTGGGGATCTTCATGATTATTGTCAGCAACCTAAGTGTCTGGGATAGGTTTGATCATATTTCACCTAAGACAGGAGAAGGGACAAAACATGCAGGATTTCCTCTGTGCCCTAGGTCTTTAGATGAGAATCAAACAAAAGACACAGTTCTATGTCAGTGTTAAAACCATAGCTCTTTTGTTGACCAAAACTGGCTTGGAAGGAATCCTAAATAAAAATTCCATCATCTCTTGCCATCCTCCGTCTTTTTTTTTTTTTATCCAGGACCCTACCTGTTTAAAGTTGTCAGCGAGAAACACAAAATAGACACAGCAGAATCCCAGCTGAGTGACAATCAGGAAGAAGTCCACAATGTGCCTGGAGATGGGGAAGGAAGGAACACAAAGATCATTATAATACAAATGCAAGACTCTCAGAGGAATGAGTGTTTTAAATCGTGCTTTTTCCCAAGTCATCACAACAGTTGCCTCTTCCCAACAGGTGACAAGGACAAGCAAGATGACAAAGTAAGAGAAGAAACTGTGCTAGGTGCCACCAGTCTGGAGCTTTTGGAGGAAAGTGAGGGAGGTGCTATCCATGTAGTTTCCAAGGTCCCCCTCCTGGTTTCTAGTCTAGAATGATGCATGAGGTCAGGGAGCCCCCAAGGCAGAGCACAGACACCAGAGGACTACTACCCAGTCCCTTGGCCTCCTACCTACCCACTGCCCACCCATCCCATCTCACACTTTTTTCTTCTAAAGCTACAGCGAGCCCATGACACCAAAGACCAGGAAGTGGACCTTTTCACTGTCTCTTTCTCTAACTTGGACCCAACACCAACCCAGTCTCACATAAGTACACAGAAATAGATGTACCACAACAGATTTCCAGTTGAGGCACTGTTATAACAACAGCTGGTAACAACCTGAAGGGTCACCAAAAGGAAAGTGATTAAATTACAGACCAGTCTTAAGTGGAACACACAGCAGTTAAAAGAATGTATCAAGTCTATATGTGCTGATAGAGGAAAATTGTCTAAGATATTTAAAGGGAAAAAGTAAGTTTTCAAACAGTATGCCTAGTATGGTCAATTTGTGCAAAAAAATTTTAAGAACATAGTATGTCTGTATATATACAGAAAATTCCAGAAGGATACCCATGCAACTGTGACCAGTATTACCTTTAACTTTTCACTGTATGTCCCTCTATCTTGTTCAAAAAAGTGTTTTTACTATGAGCACACATTAAAAGGGCATGAATTTTATTAAAAGAAGGAAGGGAGGGAGGAAGGAAAGAGGGATGAAGGAAAGGAAGGAAGAAAGGAAGCAGGTAAGAAAGGAAGGAAAAATTAACAACCAATCAACCTACAGTGGTCACTTGGCAATCTGGCTTCTCCCAGTCACAGAAAATAATTTTGTCAAAAGACTTACATAAAATGCATCACAAGATGAAGGTGACTACAAATGAAGGTAAAAGTTTCCTCTATGAACACTAAAAGAAACTTTTCTAGAAAAAATAGTTTTAATGCAGCTTAACTTAAAAAAAAAAAAGAATCAGCCCTTGATGGTATCAATTCCCAACATCTAGATATAGGAAACATAAAATAGAATATTTCCCTCCAGGCACCTGAAAAGTTACCATAAGGAGAAATTTCCAAACACTCCTCCCCTCCTGGCAAACCCACCTCCCTGCCTTGCTCTAGCTCACCTCGGTTCCTCCTGGAAGTCCTTTCTTCTCCTGCCTACCATGTGCTGTCTCATCTGGCCCAGCTGTACTGTCTCATCTGGCCCAGCTGGATGAGAGAATCTCTCAAGTTCCTCCCACTGAGCGCCTAGGATATACTTCTATCTCACAACACTCTCTTCCTATCAGTGTAGACTATCACTGATCTCGCTGTCTCATCTGGCCCAGCTGTATGAGAGAATCTCTCAAGTTCCTCCCACTGAGCACCTAGGATATACTTCTATCTCACAACACTCTCTTCCTATCAGTGTAGACTATCACTGATCTCTGGTCTTGTTCTCTGGCTTTTCTTTACATGCATCTCTCTCCTTACACAGACTACCAGCCTATGGAGGGCGGAAGCCGCATCATGCACCCCAGGGAATCTTCCCTCCCTCCCTAGACCTGTTTTGTGCCACTTATAAGAGAGTGCTTAAATACAGTTGTTGAACAAATGAGTGAATCAAATATAATGAGTGGGGACAGACTGTCAAAGCTGGAATGGCCCTTAGAGACCTTTCAGGCCAGGTCCCATGTTTTACTGACAAGGAAACTGAGGCCCTGACAGGGGAGGGATCACACAACTTTCCACAAGCAGAACTGAGCTAGAACCCAAGCCACTGACCCAAACAACACTCTTTCCACTCCTTACACAGCCTCCCACATCATGCCTCCCTATGTGAAGGCCTCAACACAAGGAGGCCACAGCCCAAAGGAAAGAGGAAACCAGTTACCTTCCCCAGTGCGCATGGTTGCGGAGGCAGGAGCTGGGGCTGGATTCCAGTCCATACATCACAGTATCCCCATAGTCCACAAAGGGTTTGTTCAGTCTGGAAAAAGGGCAGGTAGAGAGGAAGGGCAAGTGTGGAGATTAGACAATGACAGTGACTGAACAAAAGTGGCCACTGAGACCTGGGCCAGTTCCCTATCTGTCACCCTGATGCACTACTCTGAGTCCTGTAACTAATGCTTTCAAGGACCAGAAGTGTTAAGCTGACAAATGGATGGTTACTTTCATTATAATTAACGACCAGCTGGAAGAATCATCATTACAAAACACATACAATTAGAATGTGGTCTCTGTCCACTGGACATAAGTAAATTTAACAGATGACAATGAGCCAAAAAAGAACACAAAAATAACCAGAGAAAGGTAATGCTGTAATAATAAGCAGTCATCTTCAGCTAGTGCAAAGAATTGAGAGTGCTCTGCAAAAGCGCTCTCTTTCAGAGTTGGTAATGGAACCCAAAAGGATAATTTGTCTCTCACGAGGTGGCTCAGAGGGCTCTCACCTGAGGCAGAAGTGATGCGCACATTTCACCAGGAGACTCATGCAGTGCACGGCCACGATGCCTATCACGAGCAGGCTGAGGGGACCCATCTGGGGACAGGTGTTGCAGGCAAAAGAGGGAGAGACAAGCAGGTAGAATTAGAAGTGAGCCCAAAAGAGACGTGATTTGCACATGATTAAAACACCATTAAGACACTTTCCAGTGCTAGAACTTCTGGCTCATCTTTATAGATAGAAATGTGATAATGGAGATTAGCTCTGTGAGATGGGTGCTGTCTGAATCACAGCATGCCTTTGAGAAATTTAATCTCATAGAGAAGAAGAACACAAGATAAGTCTGTTCCAAGACTGTAGCAAATCAGCAGAAGAGACTTCTCCTGTGACTCTGTGGGAAGAAGAGATGGGCTAAGGGATGTGGGGGCAGGGGGAAGTTATCTTTAGAACAATGCCAGTTCAAGAAAGACAGAACTTAGCTAAGGACAACCCACATCCCTGAGCTACCCCCAACTCTTAAAAAAAAACCAGAATGGCTTTGGACAGGAAGTCTCTCTTAGAGCTGGTCATTGAGGGATGGAGCATGGAGGGACTATGTAGAAAATGGACAGACATCTGCAACTAACTCATTAGCTCATATTATTGATAGAAACTGCTTGAGTCATTTTAAGTACATTCTCTCCATCACAAGGTAAGCACCATGAGGGCGGGAATCTGTTTAATTCACTGATATATTTCAAGAACCTGAAACAGAGCCTGGCACCCAGAAGGCCTCCATAAATATCTCTAGATGAATCAACATCTAAATGTTGCTTTTTCTCAGCTAAATTAAAAAATAAAAAAGTTTACCTATTAGTAATGTTTTAAATAAATTTTTTTTTAAAAGGACTCTCTCCTAAAATTTGTCACAGTACTTCTCTCCACCGCTGCAGACCCTTACCAAGATGCCTGCGTTCTTCACTGCCAGAGGCAGCCCCAGGAGTCCAGTGCCAATGTTGCTCTTTAACAGGTGGATCAAGGTCTGGAACCATCTGAAGTGGGAAGAAGGTAGACGAGGGAATGTTAACCATAATGATAGCAAACTTTTATTAGCACTTATGCCTACATGCATTATCTCACTTGATTTTCACAACTCTATGAAATTTTATTTTATGGATGAGGAAGAAACTTGCTCAAGGTCACACACTTAGTAAACGCTAAGCCAGGAGTCAAATCCAAATGGCCTGACCCCAGAGCTCACTTTCGTATCCTCTATGCTATAAGTCTCCGCTCCCCATGGCATTTCAGAGAAACAATGGGGTCCCCTCCAGGCACCCTGTCCTTCCCTAGTTACATTTGGGCCTGGTTCTAACCACTGGGCAGACCACTGTAAAGACTCCCAAAACTACAACAGAGGAAGACAAAACTATGAAGGACAAAAACTGGTGTGAGAGAAGAGGGGAAAGAAAAAAATGGAAGCCCCAAACCTTGTAACATAAAGTTTTATACAACGTGAACAGAATAAAAGTCATATGACACCATAAGAGGCTGGAAGTCTCTGGGGCACTTTGTATTTAAAAAAAAAAAAAGTCAAATGCCATAGAGCCCATTTGTGTAGACTGTCCCCTCAAACTGCCTTTGGAAAGCCTCTCACATTTCCTCATTCATGTTTTCATGCAACAAATACCATCCGTCATATATAAAACATTGTGTTAACTGCAGTGGTGAAGATGAATATGAATTAGATATAGGCCTCAAGTCTCTAGAAATTAATAATGTCTCAATGAAAATAAGGAGACACATTAATAACCACCCAAGGTAAAAGGATCCCTGTTTTAAGAAAAGTGCAGGAACAGAGCCCAGGGAGAAGAGAGGCAGGAGAGTCTTTCTATAGTAGAGAGACTGAGCTGACCCCAGCAGGACAGGCAGGATTTGTAAATGTGCTGCTGTGAAGAGGACACCTGGGCACAGGAAAGGGCCTGGGAACAAGACCCTAGAGAAATACATGGGGCATGGACAGGAGGAACAAGAAGGAATTATTGGGGTTTAGTAGCGGCTCGGGTAGGGGTGAGTGAGGGTGGCAGAGAATTTTTCTTTCTTCTATAGGGAATGGGAAGTCATAAAAGGACTGACAGCAGAGGAATGGTCTTGTCTGCAATGTTTTCTTTTCTTTTTTTTTTTTTTGTCTTTTTTCGTGTCCGGCAACGGATCGCAACCCTCAGTGTCACGCCCGTACCAGACCGGGACCGGCAATGGGATCGCAACCCTCGGTGTTGTGCCCGCACCTCGCTCAGCCAGTGAGCGGGAACCGGTCTGTACGTGGGATCCGAACCCTCGGCAGGAGCGCCGCCTCGCTCCCAAGCGGCGCACTGTAGCAGTGTGCCACCGGGCCGGCCCCGTCTGCAATGTTTTCTATCCTTTGTTACTTCCAGTAGAATAGGAAACAGATCAAATACAGCATCACTATGCCCCAAATCACTTAGGATTTGGCCCCTGGCACTGTCTGGAAATTCTGCACTATAAATAACCCAAATCCCTCAAAACTTATGCTTACACACATTTCTTCAAATATGCAATTCAGCAGAAACTGAAAGCAAATAACACTTGTTACTCATAAAGGCCCTTAATCAGATCCATCTACAACTTCTAGGAAGGAATTTTACTTTAACCTTTCTCTTTTTACATTCAAGAAGATCTCTTGATTTACCTACTGTCCCCAACCTTTTCAGGATTGAGCAAGGAAACTACTCTGACTCTAAATGAGAGGAAGTTAAGTGCTCTCCTGGACTACCCTGAGGAAACAGCTTAAGGACTGCAGGGCCCAGTGCTGACTCCTTCATTACCAGCAGTGGTCAGGATAATGGGCCTATTAAACTTCTATCTTGGCGAATGTTTAACCCACTTAAGGGCAAAGGTAAACACTGTACCAAACCCACCTGCCTACCAGAGGCCTCCCCCAAATGACTCTTAGCTGATTTCATGGGAGATCAGGTCCCTGTAGCCCTAGCTGTGCCATCACCTCCACATGATGATCCCTTTCCCCTCTCTGGACTTGTTGTCTCACTTGTACAGTGAGGGAGCTGGACTAGGACAAGATGATCTCCATGGTCCCATCAGCTCTGAAATAACAAGGATTCTAGGCGACTGACCAAAATTACTCTTTTTAATAGATGGCCCCAAGCTGGGATTACCCAATACTGTGGATATCACAAAGTAAACTCCATGGACTGCAGTCTTAACTACAAGGGGGACTATCTTTCTGAAAAAAGGAGGAAGGGAGAAGCTCGGCAAATCTCTATAGTTCCATTTATGCTCCATCAGAAGTTCTTATACTTTTTGGTCTCAGGACCCCTTTATTCTCTGATAAATTATTAAGAACCCCAAATAGCTTTTGCTTATGTGGATTATATATGCTGATACATATGAGGGTACTTCAAAACGTTCATGGAAAGATTCATATTATCTCTTAATTCTATTTTTCCAAGAACTTTTGAAGTACTCCTCATACTATACTAAAAATCAAAATTGAAAAAAAATTAAAAATATTTTACTGAAAATAATAGTAAGTTCATTACATGTTAATATAAAAAACAGATTTTTCTTATAAAAAATAACTCCATTTTCTGGAAAAGAAAATGTGAGAAGAATGGCACTGTCTTATTTTCTCTGCAAATCTCTTTAATGTCTCACTTAGAAGATAGCTGAATTTCTGCTTCTACATTCAATCTGTTGTGGTACACTGTTTTGGCTGAAGTATATGAAGAAAATTTGTTCCCTCTTAGACACTCAGTAGGAAAGGGAAGGCGTGTTTTAATAGCCTCTTCAGACAATTATGGTAATTTTTCTTTGACATTACCCCAAAATGCAACACATGATGGTTTCTTCAAAGCCAGTTGCAAGGTGGAATCTGAACTTTTCATACTCTATTACATTAAAATCCACTGGTGGTCTTGCTCTTGGAATGGATCTTTTCCCCATGCACAATTTCCTAACATCATACTTTGGCCATCTGGAGGATATTGGTTCCCTGAGTTATGCAGATCTTCCAAATGCTAACACCTTTCATTGCACAATATCAAAAAGTCACATTCATTAATATCACCACTGAGCTCATCGGAAAAGTCTTTAAGTAGAAGGAAGCTGTCAGTGCTGAATACAAATTGTTGGGTTTTTTCACCTAATTTTGCTTGAAAGCTCAAATTTTACTCTGGGCAACAAATACTGTTGACTATTTTTCTTGAGGTGATGAGCTCATTTCTTTCATTTTCAAGAAATGTCTGCCAAGTACTCGGGTCTGAATAACTTTTAGTTTGTTAGTTGTTCTTTCTAGTAAAAATAGTGTTCTATGAAAAAGAAACAGCTAGTTCAGTTGACAACTCAATCACTCAAGGTCTTCGCCTTGAGACAAGGACCATACGTTGGTATGCCACAGAGGTGCTCCAGTGCACTGCCCATTTTGTCACACAGAATATTACAACACCTGTACTGATAGGTCTTGATTTAATAAAATTAGTAATCTGACTGTTGCACCAATGACACTGTGAAGTGAAACTGGCTTTTTCCTCTGTGCATGTGTGGCAATGAGAAATACACTGATGACTAGTATAATTTGGTGCCACTGCCTCAATGCGTGCTAGAGCACCTGCAGTTTCACCCGCACTGCTTCTGCATCATCGGTGCAGATGTTGACAAAGCAAAAAGGCAAACAACACTTTAGTCTTACTATGAAGATAGTTTTGACCTCAGAGGCTTCTCAGAATCATCTTGGGCACCCTAAAAGGTCTGCAGACCACACTTTGCAAATGGCTCCAGATCACCTAGAGAAAGGCAGTTTTGGTCAGCTAGTTTCTCAGCGTGCCAGCCTGGGGAAGAAGTGCTAGGGCTCGATTAATAGGTGGTATTATGTAACGCAACATTGGAACAAGAAGAAAAATTTGCCCAGAAGCATAAAATGAGGCTGCTGTCAAAGCAGTCAACAGCTTGATAACACCAAAAGCTAGAAAATAACCTCACTAAACACACCATTATCAAGTGTTTGGGGGTTCTTATCTGTACCCCCAATCAGGGTTTTTTACTGAGCCCTTAACTTCTAGAAGAGCTGGGTGTGTGCATGTATATGTGCAGCAGTCTAAGAAGTACTTCCATGTACTTTGTCCTTGGCATACCAAATAGTAGGGTGCGGCAAATTACAAATGGAAAAGCAACCTAGCTCAAAAACTTGTCCCTAACACTTCTTACATATTAGAGACTCATTTGGGTTAAAAAGTTTCTGGAAACCAACTTATACTTTAATCATACCTGGTATGTTTTCTACTTAAATGCTTGTGTGGATCCTGTGCCACAGGCTGGAAGTACTGAACCGGTCCTCCACGTCCCAGGGGTATACTTTTCCAGGTACCACCTGTGATGGGGCTGCAATACCTGCCTTCACCTACAGATGGAGTTTCTTGGTCACCTACCTTGTATCACAGTATCTGGGCAGAAAAGGGAACTCAGAACAAAAGTATACTCTGGAAATGTCCCAATGCAAGCCCAAGGAAAGTACCTTCTAATTTGCTCAACTTCCAGCAAACAAGGGGGAATAATTTTTGATTGACTATTAGTTAAAATATAATGTGAAAAAAAGAGATATTCAGAATAGCTAACAGGCAGGCATCAGCTTCCACATGTCCAAAACCTATGAGCTACTATGCTGAAGTTGCTAGCTGGTTGGCTTTGAGCTTCAGAGAGGTCTCTACACAAATGAAACTCCAGATTCCGTATGGCAAGTATTGCTTAGACAAGTTGATGCCGGAGAATAAGAAGGGCCAAAAACTGGAAGGGTAACTACAGAGAGAGAAGCTGAGAAAAAGTATTTCACAATAACAAGCGTGACCTCTGAAGGGAAGCTGTCACGGGTGTGTGGAGCTCCTCTATCTGGGGGACGCCAGGGGACAAATAAAGTAGAGGAAAGAGAAGGACGGTCTTCACTGCTGCCATTTGTGCTCTAAGCAATCTTTTCCATCAGCTAAAACTGCAAGCAAATGCAGAATCTACAAAAGCAAGCCATATGAGAAATAAACTATAAAGGTGGAATCTTTGTGAACAGAAAACAGCTAGTGGTGGTGAGGGGCCAGAAATGTGGACAGACCATATTCTCTAGTTCCTTCCCAGCTTGTAAGAGACAATGTCCTGCACCAGGAGAGAGTGTAGGCAGAGGAAGCTTCACCAGTGATGGGCTCCAGGAGAAGCTTTCTTGGGCCCCCCACACAGTCATAGTGGATGGCACAAGTTTAGGACAGAAAGGATCCCTCGGTAAGCCACACCCAATCCACAAGGGAACACAGAAAGGGTAACAGCTAAGCTTGAGGAATAAACAGAAGGGCTGCAAAAGATGGCATGCTGGGATCCAGAGAAATCACAGAGGGCTGCTGAGGTTGGGGAGTAGTGGGGAAACTCAATAGAGCAGAAAACCTTCCTCTGAATTTTCTAATTCAAGTGGTGAGAACCACATAGTCGGCATGGCTTCATAGTGGGGTCCTCGATTTTTTCTTACATTTGGGGAAACTGAAGCCTGAAGAGGGTCTCAGCCCAGATGAATCTTGGGCTTCAGTTTCCAGGGACGAGACTTAAGCCCTCCTTAGTGAATGCAAAGCAGATCTCTTCTTCTCTATCAGTACCTGAGTTTTTTAAGTGCAGAAGTTATTCCTCCCTCTACACTATTCTTCAGCCAAATGAACTGGCTGTTTGGTGATGAGGATAGAAGTCTGGGGGAGACTTTGCAAAGAAGGCTTCCAGTTGGGCTTGGCAATATTTGAGGTTCTAGCACAGATGACACATGGTTCTAAATTAAGAGATTGTCCTTTCCAGAAGCTTTTCTTCAGGCCAAGCTGTTACTAGGCACCAGCCTTCTGGGACCAACACAGCTAAAATGAACAAAGACAAAGAAACAGACTAGAGAGTAGCAGGCAAGGAACATAAATCTCAGCACTCCTTTCATCTGTAAAGTGGGGAACTGATGAAATGGGCATGGAGAAGTAACTCCAAGGGAGACATAGGAACATGGCCCCACTCAGGAGGGTAGAAGAAGATAACGGCTACTTACGTTGTGCTGTTGCTTTCCCCAAAACGCTGGTAGGAGCCGGGGGAGAAGTTTCTCAGACCTTCCGAGGAGCTCTCCTCCGGGCTCGCATCAGTGGAGCTGTAGTCCTGGTAGTCTTCATTCCGCAGTCTCTGCGTGGACATGGTAGCTGGAGGGAAAGGGCCAGCATTAAGACCTCCAGCAGCTGGGTCCTTGAGCTCCAAGTCTGGGGTGGGCTCTGGGGCAGAAGCAGCCATTGTCACCGTTGCTCACAGTGACAGGTGCTCTATGAATTAAGTACAACCAGTGTGCCTGGTACCAAGGGAAATGGAAAAGGTGCAAAGTACACAGGGCGGGCATGGCTCCCTCGGCCTCTGCCTCCCACCTTCCCAGTTGGTATCACACTCGTAAATTTCTAAATTCACCAAAGTACACCTGGGTAGAACAGAGGTGAGACACTGTTTGGGAAAAATGGATAGAAACACAGACAAGTGCTTCCAGGAAGCCTTTCCCATTACTTAGGTCAGGATTAACTACTCCTTCCTCTGAGCTCATTTCTTGGGCTTTGAAAAATAGATTTCACAAAAGCAAGCTCTCAAAGGAGGGGAATCTGGGTATTTCTCATTGTGCCCTCTTTCCTCTGCCTTCATTAGAGGATTTTACTGCATTCAGGAAATCCCCTCTGGACCATCCGGTTCTGCTCAAACTCCCCACCAGGTGCAAGAGTCACAAATGACATTCTCCTTCTCTCTGCCATGACCTCAGTCCTATCCTATACTCTTCGGAGGCCATGAGAAACTCTCATCCCTTGGCCCTAGGACTCTTTTCCTGAGTACTGAGAAGTGGCAGCTGAAGGCAGCTCAGAGGAAGACCAGGAGCATGAGGGATGCTCACCTCTTGCCCTTGTCTCAACATCTCCCCTCCACAACTCTTCTTCCTTTTTATTTTCATGGATTTGCTCATTTTAAAAGACGGTAAGAGAAGAAACCCTTCCTGTTGTGTGCTGGGGAAAGACAGTAAAAGTGGTGTCCCTGGGTGGACTTTCTCAGTAATGCTACCACAGAAAAAAGAAGGACAGTGCCTCATTAATATACACAATAAGGATACATTTTGGGAGTCATGTAGGCTCCCAGAATTCTAGAGACTGTTGCTGAAAGGGCCTTCAGAGGTCACTCCAAACCCTCATTTAACAGAAAAAGAATCGCACAGGTTGAAGGTTCAGATCCACAAAACTGAGTCCCATTTCCCACGCCAATTGCAAGCCCCAGACTGCTTTACTTGTGCTTCTCACAAGCCGGCTATAAGTCAGGGTTCCCACAGCCCCCTCTTTGGATTCAATTAGTTTGCTAGAATGGCTCACAGAACACAGGGAAACACTTACTTAGGTTTACTAGTTAACTGCAACAGATATTATAGAGGAGACAAAGAGGTGCACGGGGTGCAGCATATGGAAGGGGTGCAGAGCTTCCACACCCTCCCAGGTGTGCCCCCTCCAGGAACCTCCTCCACATATTCAGCTACCTAGAATCTCTCTGTACCCTGTCCTCTTGAACCTTCTATGGAGACTTCATTGAACAGGCATGACCGAAGCATGGATAACCATGTAGAAATGTGATTGGGCAAAAGGGTGTGATCTAACACTAATAGATTAAGTGCGGAAATGCAGCAAGGCCTGTCCAGATTCTTCATGGCTTCTCTATGCAGCATTCCTTCCTCTCGGATATGGAGCAAGAATCCTTCTGAAATGGGGCGCTATGGTTTGAATGTTTGTCCTTGCCAAAATCCATGTTGGAACTTAATTCCCAATATGGTATTTGAAAGTGGGGCCTTTAAGAGGTGATTGGATCAGGAGGACTCTGCTCTCATGAGTGAATTAATCTATTCATGGGTTAATGGATATGGTTTAATGATTTATCAGGGAGTAGACTGGGAGCTTTCTAAGGAGAGGGAGAAAGCATGTGGAAAAAGCTCTTGCTCAGCCCTCTCGCTGTTGATACCTTGCATCACCACAGGACTCTGTACAGTCTGCACCAAGAAGACTCTCACTAATTGTGTTACTGGTACCTTGGACTTCCAAGCCTCCAAAACTGTAAGAAATAAATTCTTTTTATATATTACCCAGTTTCAGGTATTTTGTTATCAGTGACAGAAAATGGACAAATATATGAGGGTAAGCAGATTAGAGAATATCTTTATGGCCAGCTCCAAGCCAGAAAGGTGGGGGAAGATTAGAGTCCTGCCTTGGGGAGAAAAAGGAGCAGATGAAAGGGAGGCAGGTGAAGGTCAGAGAGAAGTCACTTAGGAAAGAACAAGGACTATGGGAGTTACGAGCCAGGAATCATGGACAAAAACATACACACACACACACACACACACACACTCATAACATCACACCTATATAATACTAAAGGTGAAAGGATAGAATATAGGAACTGATAAATTCCCCAATTCCTCCTCCTCAATCAAGAAACCACTCTGTTGCTTACTTAGTATAGATGCTCAATTTATTTCAAACACTGTAAAGAGGCCTCTTCACATTGTATATAAAAACTGAAGTTACTCTCAACAGAATGTTGCTAAGAAAACTGCTAAAAAAAATTTTTTTTAAAAAAGGCTGTAATCTATAGATCTAATGTTCAGAGTTCAACAAAAAACTGCAGGATATGGGAGATATGGCTTAGCAATCACATGCATATTGAAAAAAGGAAAAAAATGCAACTTATAGGTTTTGGTTGATGATAAGCTCAATAGAAGTCAATGATATAATAATAGATGACAAATAAACTAATACAATTCTAGGTTGCATTAGGACGAGAGAGAATCCCAGGTAGATGACAGCACCATTCAGTTTTACCATGCACTGAAATCTGTTCCAGGCAGCATACTACAAAGGCAATAATGACAAACTGTGCCATATCCAGGGGTCAACACCATGATCAAGAAGGGGATGGAAACCAACTAAACGAGGAATGGCTGGAAACACTGAGAAGGTTCAACTTGGCAACTTGGGAAGTACAAAAACTGTCTTTAAAAGCTGTCATAAGGATTGGACATGTTCTCTGGGGCCTCAAAGATCATCAGTCAGAGCCAGGGTCAACAGGTGGAAAGTAAAAGCAGACAGATCTTAGGCTAGACATAAGGAAGAACCTTATATCAAAGACAGTAGTCCAAATGGAACAGATTGCTCTGGGAGAAAGTATGTTCCCCATCCCTGGAAAAGTCCGAGTAGAAGCCCTTTCTCAAAAAAATTTCATAAAAAACTTGTACTATGAAAAGACTATTCATGGATTACAAACACTTTTTGCACCAAAGCAAACTCGTATTAACTTTTTATAACATGTCTGAACAGGATCTAGTTTGAGGCACTGAGAAAGGTAAGACATCAATTTGAAAAGAGCCCCTATCAGAGCAAGATGAATTCTGCTAAAGTTGAAGCAAGAAAAAACATCAAATTATGGTGAAACTTTGGTAGAAGAATGGTGAAATTATTGATGCTTTACAAAAAATTAATGGGAAAAATGCTGCAAAGAAAACAGCAGTTTACAAATGGATAACTCGTTTTAAGAAGGGATGAGACAATGCTGAAAATGAAGTCACAGCAGTAGACCATCCACATCAATTTGCAAGGAAAAAATTAATCTTGTTCATGCCCTAATTGAAGAGGACTGATGATTAACAGCAAAAACAATTGCCAACACCATAGACATCTCAACTGGTTCAGCTTACACAATTCTGACTGAAAAATTACAGCTGAGCAAACTTTCTGTTCAATGGGTACCAAAACTGTTGCACCCAGATCAGTGCAGATAAGGTCAGAGCTTTCAATGGAAATTTTAAACATGTAGGATCAAGAACCTGAAGCATTTCTTTGAACAATTGTAACAGAAGATGAAACATGACCTTACCAGTACAATCCTGAAGACAAAGCACAATCAAAGCAGTGGCTACCAAGAGGTAGAAGTGGTCCAGTCAAAGTAAGACTAGACCAGTCAAGACAAAGCTCATGGCAACAGTTTTTTTGGATTCAACACATTACATGAGATATTCAACATTTATTTCAAAATAGGTTTTGTGTTAGATGATTTCACTCAACTGTAGGCTAATGTAAGTGTTCTGAGCACATTTAAGGTAGGCTAGGTTAAGCTATGATGTTCAGTTGGTTAGGTATATTAAGTCATATTTTCAACTTATGGTGGGTTTATTGGAATATAACCCCATTGTAAGTTGAGGAGCATCAGTGCATGAGTTTGGAGTCTAGTAGTGTGACTCTAAGCAAGTTAGTTAATTTACCTATGCCTCAATTTCCTCATCTGAAAGATGTCATTAATAATATCTACTTCACAATATTGTTATGAAGATAAGAGGAAAAGATAAATAAATTTAGCTATGTTGTCTGGCACATATGAACCCTTATTAATTTTAGCAATTGTGATTATTACTATACAGAAGTTCAAGCACAGGGAGTGAGAAAGTTCACCCTATAAACTCTGCAGTACATTCTCCATTTAATACTCTGGAGAGTGGAGCCAGGTCCCTATCTTGAAACTGGTGGTCAAAGTGCCTGAAGCATGTCCATAACCCACACAGGCAGATTCCCTGACTATATGAAAAACGGAAGCACAGAGGAGCCTTTGCTACTAGAGTGGGTCACTGAGAACTGGCCCTGGGTGTCAAGGCTTCCCAGAGAAATGTTTTGGAGGATAATAGAAGGGACAGCACCAAATGCAGCATCATGTGGTTCCTATTTTGGAGTACTTACAATGTCCCATCCATTGGACCCCACACCCATTAAACAGAGACTATCTTTGTATGCTCAACCCAGCAACACATAGCTCAAGGAGGGAGGTACAGGATTCTTCCAAGACCTCGGTTGAGGTAAACAGACTCAATGTGAGCTTCCTCTATGGGAAAAAGAGAAAAGATGGCTTAGATGTTAGTGGTGTTAATCAGTCATACAGTTCTGGAAAAGGTTATCAGCACCAGGCCAGCAAAGGTAGAAACAGAAGCTCATTCACTCAACCGAGTCCTAGGATCTTACCTCAGGTCAGGGTAGAAAGAAGAAATGTTATTAACAACAATGACTCCTCAACACCTGGCCCTTGAAGAGTTATCAAGCGTTTAAAGAAATGACACATTTATGGGGGGGATAGAAAGAAAGAAAAGCAAGAGTACTTAACATGAGAATAGTTACCTAAGGCAATGGGAAAAATACATAGAGCATTCACAAAAGTGACCACCTACTCCATCTACTCTAATTCACATCCCACATGCTAACAAGCCCAGTCCTAGAATTTCACAGAACCTCTGAGTTGGAAGATAACTTAAAACTTTATCTAGTCCAACCCTCTATCTCTAGGTACAGGGAGCTCCGTGCTCTGTGTTACAATGTGGGAGAATTCTAATTCTTTGAAAGTTTTCATGTTAACCAAACACCATCTCCCTATAGCACTTCCATCCTTCGGTCCTAGTTGTAGTCTCTGGAATACTACAAAATAAATGGAAACTTTCTTCCTTGCACAGCCTTTGTAATAGACAAAGACAGCTCCGAGCACTACGAAATGTCACAGGGATGAGGCCAAATGAACAGCTAAATGGCTTAGAAGGAAAATAAGGACTCAAGATCAGGCAATTATAAATGACACAGTCAGAAAACAAAGGGAGAGAGGCTTAATACTGTTATCAGAGCGGTCTCTGCTACATATAGCCTCCACCCCCAGACGGTCTCAAACTCAGAGCAAATGACAGAGCCTTTTGTGTCCCCTTACTTCTTGACTCCAGGACATCTTTAAAGAAAACATGTTCTGAATGCAAGCTAATTACTATAAACTGGACTCTAGACAAGAGTCAAAAGAGGGCCCTGATCATACTTAAAGTAATAAAAGACAAGTCAAAATCATTTTCAACTATGAGCATTCAGCTTAGACATAATACAGTGATAGGAAGAAAGAGGAGGAGGATTTCATGGCAACCTAGGAATAAGATAAATACAGGAAAGTGCTTCCTGGACAACTGGATTAAATGTTGTTGCAAGGCTGATAATGTACACAGTGAGGGGATGGGGAGGTGGGGGAGGTGGGAATCTCTCTGAATAAAAAACAGGCTTAGACACACAGAGTGTCAGAGCAGAAGGGCGCTTAGGGATTCATCATAGTGCTGACTTAGAAACCTAAACCCAGGTGAGGATGGGAGTCACCTAGGGTTGCTACCTAAGTGGCAGAGCTAGAACAAAAATCTCCCAATGCCCCAATCTCAGTTCTTTCCATTACACCATGCTACTATCTTATTTCAGTAAGTCTCAAACAACTGTAAAACATCCACACAAATAACCAAGTCTCTTGTCTCTCCAAGTCTGACAAGTTACACAAAAAATAAAGCAAAAGTTTTTGCATTCTTCAAGCTAATGTCAGGGCTCTGCTCAACCTCCGCTGAGCCGCCTAACCTCCCAGAAGCATACTCCGATTCATATTTCATAACACAAAAAATAAAGCAAAAGTTTTTGCATTCTTCAAGCTAATGTCAGGGTTCTGCTCAACCTCCGCTGAGCCGCCTAACCTCCCAGAAGCATACTCCGATTCATATTTCATATTTTGGTATGACTTACACAAAATTGCAGGACAGTTAAAAATCAAACCTACAGAATGATGAGTTTGCAGAAAAATCATGAACAAACAGGGAACCACACCCAGAGCCAACCCAAGCCGGGCGATGGAGAACGCAGAGAGCTAGAAAAGGACAGGACTCAATGAGAAAGGGACAGAAAAAGGGTTGCCTTTCACGTGTCAAGTTCTCCGCAGGAGGCAGTGTGGTGAAAAGCTAACAGCCGCTGGAGCTTAGGGAGACCTGGATTCTAAATCACTGGGTGACCTTAAGCAAGCCCCTACCCCTTCCTAGGACTGTTTCCCCAACGGTCCCAGGAGGGGTTGCACCAAATGATTTCACAGGGTCCTTGCCGTTCTGCTACTCTATGACCCTAAGACCCATTATTAGCAAGCCTGGAGCTGGGCTTCCGCAGCGGGCAAGAGACATGCCGGAGACACCCGAGCCCCTTCGAGAAGCATGGAAGAAGCCCTAGCTGGTCGTTTGGGTGATCTTCCCCATCGCGGGACCTCAGTTTCACCACCTGTCAAGAAGGACGGGGAGACCCCAACCCCACGAGGTCGAGAGAGAGCGCGAGAGACAAGGGTTCTTCAGTTCCCTCATCCGGGAGGGGTGCCCGCACCGTACCGCAGCTGCGGCCCGGGAGCCGAGGGGACTCGCAGCCCCGCAGCCCAGGCGGGTCAAGTGCCTGACCTGGAGCATCTGCTACGCCGGGAGGAGGGCGAGGTGGGTCCCGCCCGAGGCGGTGACGGCCGCCAGCCGGAGCAGGTCAGCGCAGAGACTCACCACTAAGGCGCCGGCTCCGGCTCCAGCGCAGCCCACCACCCCTCCCCGCCTCAGCGCCCACCCCTAGCCATCCTCCTGGGCTGGTCCGGCAGCCGCTTCCGGGCCCCGTCACATGATTCAGGCGCCGAAGAGAAGCCGACGTCACGTGCTCCCCTGCTTGGCCGCTCCTCCTCTTAGTGCTCCGGCGCTCTGCTCCGCACCACCACCTGGCGACCAACTGTTGCCACTGCAGGGAACTGGGACTGGGAGTGGGAACTGAGGGCATTCATCTTGGAGCATGGGCAGAGTTCAGTCAAACTACACTGTCCCGAGCTGTGCGCTTGTGAAATATCGCTAATTTGTACATTTGCTCCATTTCTAATACATCTAGAGGAGTATGCATTGCTTTTATAATCAAGAAATATACATCTTTTTAAAAATCATCTAGTCGTATTTCTAGAAGTATGCAAAAACTCTCTGTGGTTGCTACTAGAAATAAGAATGTGGGGTAGAACAACACTATCTTTTAATATATTTAAAAATTTGAAGTAACATTTTTAAAGGATGGCAACATTTCAGTATGTTTAAGGTGTTTATATTACCTAGGCTTCTCCTCTTTCCTCCTTCTTGCTATAGATTTTTCCTTTAAAAAATATGTGACATAGACTTCAAGTCAAAAACTATCACAAGAGACAAAGAAGGTCATCAGTTAATAATAAAGGGGTCAATTCATCAAAAGGACATAACAATTGTAAATATATGCACATGACATTGGAGCATCGAAATACATACAGCAAATATTAATGGACGTGAAGAGATAAATAGATGTAATATAATAACAGTAAGGGACTTCAATATCCCACTTTCAACAATGGGTAGATCAACCAGACAGAAAATTTAAAAGGAAATACTAGACTTGAGTTACACATCAGACCAAATGGACTTAACAGACATATACAGAACTTTCCATCCAACAGCAGCAGAATACAAATTTTTCTCAAGTACACATAGAACATTCTCCAGGATGGATTACATGTAAGGCAGCAGAATAAGTCTTTACAAATTTAAGAAGACTGAAACTATATCTAGTATTATTTCAGAACACAATGGTATGAAACTAGAAATCAACAACAGGAGGAAACTTGAAAATTTCACAAAAATGTGGAAATTAAACAACATGTGTCTGAACACCAATGGGTCAAAGAAGAAACCAAAAGCAATATTAAAAACCACTGTCAAACAAATGACAATGGAAACACAACATCCCAAAACCTATGGGATGCACTAAAAACAGTTCTAAGAGGGAAGTTTATAGCCTACATTAAAAAAAGGAAAGATCCCAAATAGTCTAACAGTATACCTCAAGGAAATAACAGAAAAAGCCAAACAGAAATAGAGAACAGAAAGCCCCGTAAATCAATAAGATGAAGAGTTGGTATTTTGAAAATTAAGCAGAAACAACAAACTGTTCGCTAGGCTAAGAAAGAAAGAGAAGACTCAAATAAGCAAAATCAAAAATAAAAGTGAAGGTGTTAATCAGACACCTCAAATAAAAAGGATCAAAAAAGGGACTATTGTGAATAATTATATGCCAACAAATTGAATAACCTGGAGGAAATGGATAAATTTCTAGAAAAACACAACCTGACAAGATTGAATCAGGAAGAAATAGAAAGCCTAAACAGACCAATAACAAATAAAGAGATTGACAAAGTAATCAAAAACCTTCCAACAAATAAAGCCCAGGACCAGTTGGCTTCACAGTTGAATTTTACCAAACATTCAAAGAGGAATTAATACCAATACTTCCTTGACTCTTCCAAAAAATAGAACCTTTTGAAGTACTTCCAAACACATTTTATGAGGCCAGCATCACCTTAATACTTAAGCCAGACAAAGACATAACAAGAAAAAAAACTATAGGCCAATTTCTCTGATGAACGTTGATGCCAAAATGTTCAACAAAATATTAGCAAACTAAATTCAACAGCACATCAAGAAGATTATACACCATGATGAAGTGGGATTTATTCCTAAAAATGCAAGACCGATTTAACACATGCAAATCAATGAATGTGATATATCATATTAACAGAATGAAAGATAAAAACCACATGATCATCTCAAGTAAATTGGGCATTTAACCAAAGCAAATGGAATCACCACCTCATAAAGATATCTGCACTCCCACATTCACTGCAGCATTATTCACAATAGCCATGATATGGAAACAACCTAAGCATCCATTGATGGACAAATGGATAACAAAACTGTGTTGTATATATATATATATATATGCAATGGAATATTATTCAGCCTTAAAAAAAAAAGAAAGAGATCCTGCCATTTGCCACAACATGGATGAAACTGGAGGGCATTATGCTAAGTGAAATAAGCCAGGCACAGGAAGGAAAATATTGCATGATCATACTTAGAGAACAGAACAGTGGCTACCAGGGATGGAGATATGTCAGAGGATACAGAGTAGCAGATATATAGATGAACAAGTCTAGAAATCTAATGTACAATATGAGGACTATCGATAATAAAATTGCACTATATTTGGGATTCCTGCTAAATAAGTGTATTTTAGCTGCTCTTGCCACAAAAACAAAATAAATGGGTAACTGTGAGATGATGGATATGTTACTTTGTTTCACTATAGTAATCATTTTGCTATCTATATGTATCACATAACATCATTTTGTACACCTTAAATATACACAATAAATTTTACTTAAAAAATAATCATATAACTACTCAGCCAAAAAAAAAAAAAAACACATATAATTATGCTGAGCAAAAGAAGTCAGAAAAAAATATCCCAATTATATAATATTCTAGAAATTAAAAATAATCTACAGTGACAGAAAACACATCAGTGGTTGCCTGAGAATGGGGGCAGGGGCAGGAGAGGAGAGAGTGATTATAAAGGGGCATAAGGAAGCTTTTGAGGTGACAAATTCGCTCATGATCTTGATTGTGGTGATGGTTTCACAGTGAATATATACGTTGAAACTTATCAAATTATACACTTTAAATATGTGCAGTTTATGTAAATAATACCTCAAAAAGCTGTTAAAACATTTAGTAAAAAATCATATAATAAGTTAATATAGTCTCATTGAAAAATATATGTATACACGAGTATAGTGATGTAGATTTGTATTGTTACAATTCAGTCATGAATACCAGTGCATACTGTTTTGCTGAAGACTTTTACCTTCACTGGCTATAGTATTACTATATATATATTTATTAAATGTTTAAACCGTGTTAATTTTTTAAAAAACCAACTCCAATTCATTCATTTCACCAGGGAAAAAGAAAAGAATGCAGATTTATGCCCAATTCAGGCTGACCAGTGAGTTCATCCCATCCCTGAAAGAATCCACATTCATTGGGTGACTGCTGTGTTCCAGGAACTATGCTGGGAATGCCTCTGAGCCTAGTCAAGGAATTTCACTTCATTTCATTGATTCTGTGGCTATGTGAAGAAGAGTGAGAGCAGGGAAGGTGCTGAGAAGTGGCATTTTCTGAACGGCTTTCTATGGTGGACTGGCCATGCTGATGGATCAGAAAGGGAGTATGTGAGAGAGGAGACACATACTTTGACCTGAACAACAGGAAGGATTAGAGCTGCCTTTTACTATACAAGAATACAGTGGCAGGAGCAAGTTTTGGTGGGGACAAAAGGGAGACTGTCACGTGTGAAGTGCCTGTTAGACCTCCAAGGGACGAATTCAGTAGGCAGTGACATGACTGTGGAGGGAAGAGGTCCAGCCTAGAGAGAAAAAATTGGCAGTTGTCAGCATATTGATGATATTTAAAGCCGAGAGACTAGATGAGATCACCACGGGAGTGAGTATAAATAAAGATAAAAGTCCAAAAATTGAGGACAGAATGAAGACTAGCAAGTGGCAGAAGAAAGCGCAGTGGCGTGGTCACTTAGATAGGAGAGAACAGTCATCTCCTGGAAGCCAAGTGAAGAATATTGCTCAAGGAGGGGAACGAAATGTCAAATGTTACTGCTTGGAAGAAGAGAACTGAACACTGACCTCTATATTTAGCAAAGTAGAAATCATTGATGACGTCCAAAAGAGCAGGTTTCGCTGGGGTGGGAGTGAAACCCTGTTTAGAGAGACCTGTTTGGCCACCATCGTTTACCTATAACACCACATAGCATCCCCCACCCCCATCATCTCTCTTCCCACCTAATGCCCCTGCACCCTGAATTATGTTGAAGCAAACTCCAGATAGATATCTTTAAGGAGAAAAATAAAGGGAACTATGATATAGTCTTTTGTATAAAAAGGAGGAGATGTATTTTTATTGCTTGTATATGCATAAAGAAGTTCTGGAAAAATATATAAGAAAAAAATGTAAAGTCAGTTCTCCCATCTCTCCCCATTCTACTTCCCACCCGTCTCTCCTCCACTTTCAATACGTAGAGAACTATTTTAAGACTTCATAAGTCCTTTTACAGGCTCTGATGTGTGTTAACACATTCACATTAAATGTAATCTCTTTATTAGAAACTTTGCCTTCGAGTATGCACACTGTGTTACCTAATGTGTGTTAACACATTCACATTAAATGTAATCTCTTTATCCTTCCCCTGCAGTGCATGTTGCCTTCTATCCTATAAATTGTGTCACACTATTATTGCCATACAGTGACCACTTTTGGCTGGGACACAGAAAGGCGCACTAACTTTTGTCGGTATCTACAGAGAAACAC